AGAGAGAGAGAGAGAGAGAGAGAGAGAGAGAGAGAGAGAGAGAGAACACTTCACTTCTGTTACCCTACAGTATCTGATCCTCTACTCTAGTACCTTTATTATTTTATTTTTATTTTCCCCATTGTACCTTTAAAATGAGTAGAGAGAAGAGACGTGGCAGAGGGTGATGAAGGCTTGGCCGAGTCTCTCCACCCTGTGCTAAAGGAGAATAGGAACGCCAAGGTCTCAGAAAAAGACGTGAGCACTGCTTCAGTCTCACTTCCTGTTGTTGTAATAAAGGACCCTGACAAAATTCACTTAAGGGACTAAGGTTCTCTTTTGGTTCAGAGTTCCAGGGTATGGTCCATTGTGGTGGGGAATTCAAGGCAGAAGGCGTTTGAAGCCGCTGATCACATAACATTCTTTTTTTTTTTTTTTTTTAAATCTCATCTGTATTTACCATTTTAAAGCAGAATGTGATTGGGCACTATATTTCTATTCACAAGCCTTGCTGAGTTATAAGACTTAGGGAAGCTTAGAGTTTTGTTCTTGATCCTTTGGAAAACAAGCCATTTGGGGAATTCCTCTGGTCACATAACAGTCTTAAGGCAGAAAATGATAAACGATTGTGCTCACTTTTTTTGTCTAATTTATGCAATCCAGAATCCCAACTAGGGAATGGGGCCCCCCACAGTAGGCGGGTCTTCCCACCTCAATACAATCAATACAATACATCCCCTGGCCCTACATGCTTAACATTTCACCTGCAGGGACCACAGCTTACTAACAAGAGTTAAGGACCTTTGAATCGACTCACAGTCCCTTCTGTGATGGTTACTGTTTGTCAACTTGACACAAACTTGGGAAGAGAGAACCTCAGTTGAGGAATTGCCTCCATTAAATTAGCTCATGGGCATGTTGGGGGCATGCATTTTCTTCATACGTGATTGCTTATCAAGAAATAAGAAAGTCGTCTGAGCAAATTATGAGAATGAGCCAATAAGCAGCATTCCTCTAAGGTTTCTGATTCAGTTCCTGCCTCCACGCTCCTGTCTTGAGTTCTTGTCTTGGATTCCCTCATCAACAGATTCTAGCCTATAAGCTAAAATAAACCCTTTCCCACCCAGGGTGGTTTTGGTCATGGGGCTTCATCACAGCGACAAATAACTAAAAAAGGACACCATCGTTACAGTGAACTACCCCTGGGCTCAGAGTGGGGAAGACTACCATGCTCACAGGCATTTAAGTGATAGGCCCTGCAGTTAGTAAGTGTAAAATAAGACAAAGAAGAAAATACATCGGAAAGAAGCGCTAAAGACTGTCACCCAAGTACCACAGAACAAAGCTGCCCTTGCAGCAGATACCCAGCCACAGCAGAGGCTGCCACACCAGCAAGAGGACATTGCAGGGTTCTCCCGCCATCTTTAAACAATTTCTAGTCCTCCTCATTTAAAAAAAAAAAAAAAAAAAACCATAGAGAAGGAAGGTGAGACATCCCTTCAGAACCACGAGGCTGTCTGCACTTCTAGCCCTGCTCCTGTGTGGAGGAGCAGACGTCTGAAGACCCTTAGGCTCATGCAGGGCTGGTGAGAAAGCCCAGGTGCCTTCCACACTCACTGAAACTGCTTGAGCCACCAACTGCTTCCTCCTCCTCCTCTTCCTCCTCCTCCTCCTCCCCTCCCTACTGCTTGCCTTCCTCTGAACCTCTCTCTTTCTTTGGCTTTTGTGAGAACATGTTTCCCCAATTTATCATCTTTCTCTTTGGACCACCTTTCCTCAGTGTTCGCTGTCGGTTTCTTTTCATCCCGTCTGTATTTCCTCTAAATGATGATTCCTGCTCTTCTCTGCCTGTGCAAATGCTTTCCAACCCCACTAGAATCATGAGAGAAGCTTTAAAAATATCTGATCTGGGGGCGGCGGTGGCGCACGCCTTTAATCCCAGCACTCGGGAGGCAGAGGCAGGCGGATCTCTGTGAGTTCGAGGCCAGCCTGGGCTACCAAGTGAGTTCCAG